CAGATTGACACTTCCGGTCAACTAAACACTTCCGGTCGACTAAACACTTTCGATCAGCTAAACACTTCTGGTCGACTTAACCCTTCCGGCCCAGCAGAAGATTTTGGAAGCAACAAGCGAGATCCCATTTTTCCATATATGAAGAACACCGTAGATTGTCACCACTCATTCAACAACCTGCCTTCAGCTACAGCTCAAGCTCAAATCGACCGAGCCGAATTCATTCAAGAAAACGGTCAAATCTCCTTCCCTGGCTGCCAAACTTGCCGTGATTCAAAGAAAGGCTGTATAATCCTTCCCCTCTCACATCCTCGTGCGACCAAATTGTCCAAATGTAGCACATGCACCCTAAACAAGCACCCCTGCTCCATTGACTCCAAGCATCAAAGGCAAAACTTTGATGCTCAAATCAAAATTCACCCGGACCAACTCTCCACTTCTGACTGCCATCCACATTCCGACATAAATTCTCAACCCTCTACCATCGATGCACAAGAACGCTCATCGTCATCAGCAGCACTTCAAAAACTGGATGAAGTTATTTCAAACATGGAAACGGAACTTGCAAAATTACGACACATCAGATTAGATTTATCAAAGGAAGTTGAGAAAGGTGATGAAGAGGGAGACAGTAATAAGGAGAGTGAAGCGGGAAATGAGAGTGAAGCGGGAAATGAGAGCGAAGCGGGAAATGACAGTGAAACTGAAAGCCACACAACAATGGATTTGGAATAGTCATGCGCACGGAATACCATCCTACCGTTTCAACAGTGTTTGCTTGGTGGGAGTGTTGGAGGGATCAGATAAGCTACACACGTTGAAACTTTTCTCCTGTTCGTTTGTTCATATCTTTATGCATTACTATATCGTTCGATTACAACTAGCCTATCATTTTAACCCCGGTCTAATATTGTGAATCACTAAGTGGTTAAAGAGTTCTACACCTCTCAACCCTTGTTGATTGCATTCGGAAACATCCTCAACCCTACTAGATAAGGTCCCATAGTCACAGCACGCTGCATGCTAAAACAAACTTTAGTCCACGTGAAGACTCAAAGTACTCTTGGCCATAGAAGTCACTATCAACCTTGATAAACACACACCACCCGGTTCCTTGACTGTGTTTTGAGACAGAGGACCTTGTGGAGTTCACACCTCTAACCTGCCTCCTCCCCTCCGATGACTCTCTCCTTTGACCGGACACCGTCGCTTGTCGGAGTCACGCCTTTCTTTGTTTCAACTCTTTAAAGGCTGACGTGATTCAAAGTGGATAGAGTATGAGAATGTCACGATGTAGATGAGAAGGAGGATGCTTGAGTGAGAGTGATGTATATAGTAAAAGAAAGAGAAGGATAGACGAGTCGAAGTAGTGGTGTGTGGTGATTTCAGGGTTC